CCCCAAAACCCCAAAACCCCAAAACCCCAAAACCCCACATATTTTGAGAATAATTGAAATAAGCTTATTATACTTTCCTTCTGGGACTCTTGATTACTAACTTCCTCTTGTTCTCCTTCTGCGTGCTCTTAGGAGACACCTGTGATAATGGCTTGGAGGACCTCTGCTCTTCTGTGCCTAGAAGTGGAGACTTAGCTTACCTTCATTGATCTTCTCATCAATATTTGAGATAATTTTGGAAATCTCTTTTGGGATCGTGTACCTCTGGTTCATTGTCACAGATTTTACCTCTCTGATTATGGGATTCAGCTTGGTATTTTGACGACTGGAGGTAATCTTTAAGCCACTATCAAGCTTTCAACTCTTGAAAGTCGACAAGGTATTCCTGAAGAGGTCTGATGTTGACTTTTCATCACCCTCGAGCCAGGTTGTTCGAGCTGTAGTGGCCATCTTTGGCAAATTCCCTGCCTTTGGAGATACTATTCTCATATATGAAGAAGTTGAAGGACTCAGTAGCTTATCAGGGGAGGCATTCACATCTTTTGTATTGATAGAGTTCACAGTCAGGCTCCTATAGACCTCTCTATCTGAACCTTTGTGGGGGCTGGTGATGCCTTTGAGGTAATCATCCATGAGAGTTTGGTTCTGTTCCTGAGTCACCTCTCAGTCTTGGAGAGCTCTCTGCTTCTCTTTAGTCAATTGTATCAGGGATTTCTTAAGATATTCTTTTTCTTTATTTACCTTTGTGGCTATATTGTAGTGTTAGGATTCTGGCTTACTATTTTGGAATTGATTTGAAATCGATTCAAATTTGAACATAATATCTTTGAACAAAATGTGGTTCTCCTTAGATTTCGCCTCAATGGAATGACGCTGCTTGTGAAGAAGTTTCAAGATATTCTTGCTCTCACCCATGAAAGACTCCAGTGGGATGAGCCTCTTTGTATGATCTATGGGTCAACAAGGAGGTCTTACTCTTGAGAGTGCTTCTGATTTCTTCCTCCTTACTCTTTTCAACCCAATTTTTAATATGATTAATCTCTTCTCTGAAGGATTGAAGAGCCTTTTTGTCTTCACCATGAAGCTCATCAATAGTTTTTTGAAGAATAGACTCATATTGATTGACTGGGCTGTAGAAGGGTTAAACACTTATTCTTTCTTACAATTTTCCAAACCTGATCTTGAGATCTTCAACCCGGTTATTTTGTTCAGATATCATATCTCTTTGAAGAAGGACTTCCTCTTTGATATTATCTCAAATACTCTCGGTACTCTTGATCTTTTCTTTCAGTTCAGATATCTATAAACTTTAGGCATCGTCTTGAAGAAGGGCTTACAATCGGGATGTCATCTTCCTTATTGTTGTCTATAACAATTCAAGAGAATTCAGACCGTGAATAACTTGAAAATTTGGGGAAACTTACCATCAGAGTTGGCTTGGAAGAGCCTGGAGAAATTGACTTCACTCTCTTTATTCTTCTTCTCTTCGGACATGAACAGTTCGACCTTCTCAATCCTGTGCTCAAGGCTCTCGAAGTCCTCAATGCTAACCTTGGCATGGTCGAGGAGTTCGAACTGGACTGTGTTGGCTTTGGAATCAAGGCTGATCTGGAGCTCACGGAACTTTGCTAAAAGTATGAAGGGTTACCCTACCTTGTATCATATTTTTCAGCTCTTTTTCGACAATTTCACTGAGTCCGCCAACTCTTTTGGCTAAAGTATCGAAAGACTTCTGTTGGGCTCGTTTAGAAATTTCTCTTTCAAAACTTTCTTTAGTAACCATCGAGTCTCTATTAAGTAGGATTAGGGCAAATTTTAAGGAAACTTACAGAAAATGAGTTACTTGAGACCTCATTCTGAGGTTTGATTCGCTGATTTTTGAGGCTAGGTTTGCCTTTATTTCATCGATCTATATACAAAATTGTGTCACCAATATCGTTCTAGCTTACAGGGAGGGAATTATTAAAGGGTATATTTATAAATCAAGGAATCATAAGTATCACTTACCCTCTCATTTATGTCCTCCGAGTTATTATGAATTAATTTGAACATCGATCTGTATCCATCTAGCATCTCTGAATGCTCCTCAATCCTCTCGAAAACTTCTATATAGTGGTTAAGCCAAATTTTGAGAAGAAATATTCATGGCTAAGGTATTTGTAATGAATTGATTTTCATCTAAATTGCTTAATTAAGGTCCAAGAACCTTAAGCTAGGGCTGTCCAATAGTTCCGTGGTTATTAAAAGTAGGTTTGTAGAAGCCTAATACAACCTCAAACCATTACATGCATGACAGTTTAGAAGATACATATAGACTTACTCTTGATGAGAGGAAGAGCTTCCTCAACTTCCTTGTTTCTCTTAAGCATTTCACTCAGAAGGAGCTTCTCTTCAAGGAATTTAGTTGACGGGTTTCCTTTGTAGTCGTCATTTGGAGCAGACATTTTTATTCTTAACAAATTTCAAGATAATTTACAAGTATTGGGGTTTTGGGGTTTTGGGGTTTTGGGGTTTTGGGG